TGTTTGTGAAATTCAGAGTGCAAAGCACTTGATATTTGTTTTTTCTTAAAATGAACATTTTCTTCGGTTGATTAAAATAAAGAAAAAAAATCCGAATTTCATTTTTATTATCGTGTCTATATATTATTAATTATATACATGTATATTGTAAGATTGGTTATTAAACTTTCATGTTTACTTTAAAAAGATACATGATTTTGTATTTTGTGCAAATTTGTGTGCGTTTAAGTTATGTAAGTAGAAAATCACCTTATTCTTAATTTTAAATGAATATTAAATTTTATATGAAACTTATAAAAAAATAAAATTTATATCTATGCAATATTTATCTTTTATTTTATTTTATATTTAAATTTTTGGGTTTACTTTGGAAAATCCTCTTGATAGTAAATATATAACATATTTCATAACAACGCAGCTTGTTGCAATGTCATGTGACCGGATGTTTTTCTTTTATTTACATACGCATGCGCAATCTACGCATTAATTAAAAGGAAGAGATCATGATATAAGATGAGCATTAAAATGCTGTCTCTACTGAGGTTACTGTACATTTAGTATCTCATTGACCGCCGTACAGTGACCTACTTTTAACTTAAAATTCCTATCTTTGGCTAATACTCCGTGAAAAATGCATAGAGGTAAATTATCACCACTTTGTGCTTAAAAATTAACTCTTTAAAGGCATAACTGGTGACATGTCCGGGGTCCGTACTCGACAGCGAAAGCTGCGTTCTGTGCCCTTACGGGTGGATGGATCACCCCTAAGCAACTACATACATACATGCTGTCTCTTCTTTCTAACTTACACTTTCTAGTGCCGTCCAATCAAACTGAGCCTGCAACATTTTCAATATTGCAATATTGCCATTTTCACAGTAAATAAACAGCTCTACTTCCTGTTATCGTGAGAAAAGTTTAAATCTAGATATATAGGCTCCCAGAACAGAGACAGTGATGGGAAGTAACACGTGTTTGTAATGATAAATGGCAAGACCTTGTACACATTGATTATATTGGCTGGTAAGATTGATTAAGGTGATTTCGTTTTTAAATAAATTGTTACAGTCCTTTTTTTTGCGTTCTATAGTGGTTCTTTTTCTAATCAACATTATAATCATGTTGGAATTGTTTACACCAATGCATTCTGGGATAGGTCAGAAAGCTTAACCTCCTCTTTGTACAAAACATTTTAACTACAAATTTATTTTTACTATTCGAGTTCATTGCTGAACAAACTAATTAATACTTTGAGAGGGATTCTGTTATTTGATTGTTTCGTCAAAGCATATGGCAAATCCCATTCCCTTTTAAACAAATAAAATCATCCCTTATGAGGTTAAATTTGAACTGTATGACAAATTCAAGGAAGGATTTGTTAATTAAGTATCGAAATTCACGACATTTTCGGTTTAAATGGATCGCATCTTTCAATTTAGGAATTATAAAAAACATTACATATCAGGTCCTAACTTCACGTAAAGTGTACATCTTAAGTCGCCCCGCCGAGTTCAACTGTTTCAATGACTTGTTTGTGCAGAATAAGACACATAAAATAAAAGATGTGTAAATTGTTTAATTAAACGATCTGATGAATCCCCCCTGTGGTGGGAATTTTACAAGGGACTTCGTTCTTCAGATGTCATTTGCATCATAAAGGCGTTTTTAACGGACATATTTTTTTGTAATATTTTTTCGATATGATATTTTTTTGTGAATTCTGTGAATTTCATAGAACGTTTAGGATATTATGCATTTTGTGATTTAAAATCGCAATACTATGATAACTGCTATATTTTCATAACAAATGCGATCAGTGATCACATGTGTCGCCTCATGATGGCCAATTTTATGTTGCAGCTTCAGTGTAGTGGAAGACACAAAATGATTAACAGGGCAAAACATGTTATATATTCAAGGGCGATAACTCAGTAAAGACGGACAGACGGACGACGGAGAAGTGATCGGAGTAGTGGCGACATAAATTCCTGTAAAGTTAGGATGAAATTGCCCCAGTAGTTTATGAGGAGTAGTGCGGACAAGTTTTGTGACAGACGGCCAGACAGACAAACAGACCGTGCACAACTAGACTTGGTACTGATCATTCCTGTAAAGTTTGGATAAAATTGCACCAGAAGTTTATGAGGAGTAGTCCAGACAAGCTTTTGTGTATCTGGCAACACACAGAAAAAACACCTTTTTTATCAAAGGGCCATAACTCGGCCAAAAATCATTCCACCAAAAAAACCTGTGCAATATGTGCAAGGACTTGAGCTACAGATCAATTCTGTAAAGTTTCATTGAAATTGCATTAGTGGTATAAGAGAAGTAGTCCGGACAAACTTTAAAAATAAGAATATTAAAGGGCCATAACTCTGACAAAAATTATTGAACCGGAAAATGCTGATAATATGCACAACTAGATTTGGTACTGATCATTCCTGTAAAGTTTGGATGAAATTGCACAAGTAGTTTATGAGGAGTAGTCCGGACAAGTTTTGTGACAGACGGACAGGCAGGCAGACAGACAGACGACGGAGAAGTGATCCCTTTATGTCGCCACTACTCCGTAGAGGCGACACAAAAATGAACTTGCAGCGTCCATTTTTATCATACTGTGAACTTAATTAATGACAAAAAACCGCTAAGATTATCATTTCTTTAACAAATGACTCGATTAAATAAACCTTAACTGTGTCTTAACTCTGATGTCCAATATAATACAGGGATGTTGGAATAATTGCTAAGTTCATTCAATAAACATTGTCTTGTTTAAAAATTTTGTCTTCAGATTTTTAATGACTGTAATCAATTGCCCGCCTTTTCGAAGAAAAAAGGGGATATAGTAATAGTCCGTCTATTAGTTTGATTAATTATTTCCCTTTAATCAGGACACATTTATTTCGGAAAGAAATTGAGGAAAGTCATCATGTTAAAGGGATACTAGTCATATAGTCAAGTATATCTTCCTTGCAAGGGTAATCACCCTTCGATCAGACAGCAATATGTATATATTTATAGTACTGCACGTTTGTAACGTCAATTTTCATTGGATAATCATGACTTTTATATAGTTTTATATACACGCCTGCTGTCGATTCATGAATAAATCTTTTTTCTCTAAAAATGATTCTTGCAGTATTATAAATTGGTTATGAAGATTGTTCACAGTATAAACGGCTCGGGTTATATTTACAAATAGCCGTTTATATAGGGCCATATAACTTGTCAACTATCTTTATAACTAATAATATAAGACAAAATATGAAATATGGTCTGTTTATTTCCCGCTATATATTAAATACGCCACGGAGTTTGTCTTTATAATGGAAAAAAGGAAACAAAATAATGAAATAAAACAATAAATTATATGACATTCAGTTGGCAAAAACTTTTTACGTAAATATCATAATTTAATCATTCCAATCCGAGCTTGGTATTGTTCTTTTTAACATAGAAAATTAAACATTCAAGAAGTAGTCGGAATCTGTACGGAGGCTTACACTTTAACAACAACAACAACAACAACATCGGCATTTTTTTAACATTGTTAGGTAAGGTAACGTTTTCTTTTGAGGAAAGCAATTTAAACGACCAGCCTTAACAACCAATTCAAATTCGCATTGACTTGATGAATTGGTGTTATATAGATCTATTTTGTTTAGATTTGTATTAAAACTTCGTGTTAAAGCATAATATAACATAATAACATAACTTTATCTTTATCTTGGTTAGTTAATCTTTTAGCAAACTAAGTAACAGTAGCCATTGAGTCCTATATCTTTCTTAAAATAAAATAAGGATCTGTTCAACAAGCGTATGTCTTAATTTGTTTATCTTCAAACCAGGTGTTTTAAATCATGTTAAGTGTATTGATCATTTCAAGCTAAAAAAAAAAGTGTGATCTACCAGCTAACTTTGTTAATCTGAACAATGCTTTAGACGGTATAAATAGGGTGAGTATGTTAACAAATACTGAATACACTGCTACGATATATGTTATATGTGGAAGTGACATGTTAGCAACAATTGAATATACTGCGACTGAATATACTGCTTTAGACGGTGCTAGAGGATTGAAATAATTAAGTTTACATAGATTAAATATACTGCTTTAGACGGTGACAGAGGATTGAAATAATTAAGTTAACATATACTGAATATACTGCTTTAGACGGTGCTAGGGGATTGAAATAATTAAGTTAACATAGATTGAATATACTGCTTTAGACGGTGCTAGAGGATTGAAATAATTAAGTTAACATATATTGAATATACTGCTTTAGACGGTGCTAGAGGATTGAAATAATTATGTTAACATAGATTGAATATACTGCTTTAGACGGTGCTAGAGGATTGAAATAGTTAAGTTAACATAGATTGAATATACTGATTTAGACGGTGCTAGAGGATTGAAATAATTAAGTTTACATAGATTGAATATACTGATTTAGGTGGTGCTAGAGGATTGAAATAATTAAGTTTACATAGATTGAATATACTGCTTTATACGGTGCTTGAGGATTGAAATAATTAAGTTAACATAGATTGAATATACTGCTTTATACGGTGCTAGAGGATTGGAAAAATTAAGTTTACATAGATTGAATATACTGATTTAGACGGTGCCAGAGGATTGAAATAATTAAGTTAACATAGACTGAATATTCTGATTTAGACGGTGCTAGAGGATTGAAATAATTAAGTTAACATAGATTGAATATACTGATTTAGACGGTGCTAGAGGATTGAAATAATTATGTTAACATAGATTGAATATACTGATTTAGGTGGTGTTATGTGTGCGAGAGCCTTCATTCAAATTTATTCAATTAAAATTAGATGATAAAAAATGATATAAGCCTGCTTTTATTTTCTCATACTAAAGAAACGGCACAATATTGCCTATAATAATAGTTTGCAGAGTCTCTTCCAGATGTTTCTTTGACCTTTTTTACTAAAGAAAGTGTAGGAAAATATTTAGTGTTGTGAAATCTTTCTATAATTTAGTAGTGTTCGTTTACAGTACGCATCAGACTGGTCCCCTGCGCACTTCTTGGATGGGAACTAAATGGGACAGGGAACCAGATTACTGTACGCATGCGCTGTCAAATTGAAGAAAATCAGAATGGCGGAAAATAGCCCCGGATAATATTTTCTCAAAATTTGAAGAAATTGCGGTAAGTATCTTGAAAAGTTTGTAACTAATAGGTAAATTATTTTTTACTTGAATGAAATGTTAACATAACAAGTCAAAAACAATTAACTCGCTAAGGTAAATTACCAATGTTTTATCAATTGAAAACGAAAGTTGGATTTTGGGGAAATTTATTTCCGCGTCTACATCTACACAGTATATAAACGATTTGAACCCCAACCGGATCTTGTGAGAAGATTTTAGTGTCAGCCATATTCTGCCACTTCACTTGTTTACGATATTGGTATTTATATTGATACTGATGGACGTTTGGTTAATAAATCTATATTTATATTACGGTATGCCTAAAATACGAAAGTGAGATTTTTGACGAAAGTGAGCGAAAGTGAGCGAAAGTGACTTTTAAAATAGTAATTATAACATTTTAATAGACTTTTAAAACAAACTTGCAGTTTGTAGACGTATATTATTAGAAAATAATTATATTTATTAACAGAAATAATCATAATGATGTTTTAATCGCTACTAATTTGCATAATTTCTATATACAAGTTCTTATATCTTCCTTTCGCTCACATTGAAAAATACGAAAGTGACTTATAAAATATTAAATATTCTGTTTTAATTGAAATTTTTACTAAAATTACAATTTGTAGATGTATATTATCAGAACTTGATGATACCTATTTTTTAAAATAATCATTATGATGATTTAATCGCTATTTATTTGCATTATTTTTAGACACAAGTTCAGATATCTTCCTTCGCTCAGATGGAAAAAATACGAAAGTAACTTCAAAATATCAAATATAGCGATTAATTTGAATCTATATAATTATAAAAGATTGTAGACGTATAGTTTTGGAATTTGATCGATAATATCTATTTTTAAAAATTATCATTATGATGATTTAATCGCCATTTATTTGCATAATTTCTATACACAAGTTCAAAAATCTTCCTTTCGCTCACATTGAAAAATACTAAAGTGACATATAAAATATTAAATAATTAATATACTGGTTAAGTTGATTTTTTACTAAAATTTCTCTAAGTAGACGTATACTATCAGAAATTGATAATATTCATTTTCAAAAATAATCATTATATATGATGATTTAATCGCTATTTATTTGCATAATTTCTATACACAACTACATAGATCTTCCTTTCGCTCACATTGAAAAATACGAAAGTGACTTATAAAACATTCAATATACCGTTTATTTTGAATTTATATTAATACAACAGTTTGTAGACGCATAGTTTCAGAAATGAATAAAAAATACTTAAAAATCATTATGAGGTTTTAATATTCATGCATTTTCATTATTTCTATATAGCAATTTCAGAGATTTTACTTTCGCTCACTTTCGTATTTTCAATGTTAGGGAGAGGAAGCGAAAGTGATTTTAAAAATATCAAATATAGCGTTATAATTGCACATAATATTAATAATGCAGTTTGTAGACGTATATTATCAAAACTAGTATCTTTAATCAATATGATTTGATCTTCATTTATTAGCATAATATTTATACACAAGCTCAGACATTGATCTTCCTTTCGCTTACTGTGAGCCTGACGAAAGTGACTTACAGAATATCAAATATAGCGTTGAAATAGAATTTCATGATAATATTGCAGTTTGTAGACGTATGTTATAAGCTATAGTAACTATCATTTTTATAAAACTTAATATGTTAAGATGAAAAATGAAATTTATTATGTAAACTATAATTGGCAAAAACATGAATTATACAATTTATGCGTTAGGGCTCCGATTTACAGTTCTCAATTTCTTACATCGTCTTTTTCGGGCAGTTTTTAATTTTTGATTAACGATGGTGTTACCTAACATTTAATATTCTGTTTATATATTATATTGTAATTATACTGTTTGATTCTAATCTAACAGTAATAGGTCTTGAATGTGTTTCTCATTATTATAATGTCTCTTGAAATTCTTAAATGGAATGGTCTTATGTAGGTTTTATGTGAATAGTTGTATATATTATGTTTGAAAATGCATGTATACGAATGAGACAAAAAAAGTATGAATATGTTTACATGCAAACACGTGTTGTCATGTCATTTTCGCACCCACTTTAATTGATAGTACACACGACGGTGACCGCATGACGCTTTAATCCCACTAAAGTATTATTATAATCCAATCATAGGTATGTAACTGATGACACTTGCCCGGTTGTTTATTGAGTGGACAATTGAATTAACCTTTCTTCTGCACCACCATAGATATCTTGCACGGAATAAAGTGGCAGTTATTATGCTCATCCAGGTGTAGATGAGCAATGTACATGTTAATTTGAAAAATAATTTGGAATTTCCCATCATTGTTAAAATAATATTTCACTATAAAAATTAAGTCACTTTCGTATTGTTCAATGTGGGCAAAAGTAAGATATCAGAACAGGTATACAGCAATTATGAAAATACATGGATATTAAATCATCATAATGATTAAATTTTTTAATATTTTTTATTCATTTCTGAAAACATGCGTCTTTCAGCGCTATATTTGACATTTTTGAAGTCACTTTCGTATTTTTCAATGTGAGGGAAAGGAAGATCTGTTAACTTGTGTAATGCAAATAAAGGGCGGTTAAATCATCATAATGATTATTTTTAAAAATAAATATAATTGACTTCTGATATTGTACGTCTACAAATTAATTGCAATTTTAGTAATACATTCAATTTAAACAGTTTATTTGATATTTTGTAAGCCACTTTCGTATTTTTCAATGCGAGCAAAAGGAAGATCTCTGTATATAACTTGTGTATATAGATTATGCAAAATAAATGGCGATTTAATCATCATAATGATTATCTTTGAAAGTAAATATTATCATTTTCTGATATTAAACTTCCACTTTGTGCAATAATAGTAAAAATAATTTCAATTTAAACGGTATATTTTATATTTTATAAGTCACTTTCGTATTTTTCAATGTAAGCGAAAGGAAGATATAAGAATTTGTGTATATAAATTATGCAAATAAAAACCGAATAAATCATCATTATGATTATTTTTCTAAATAAATATAAGTAATTTCTAATAATATACGTCTACAAACTGCAATTTTATTGTAAAAGTCTATTAAAACGTTACAATTAATATTTTAAAAGTCACTTTCGCTCACTTTCGCTCACTTTCGTCAAAAATCTCACTTTCGTATTTTAGGCAAACCCTTTATATTAGGCTATAAGAGAGAAACTTTATTAAACGTCTAAGTTATGCAAAACATAAACGTTAGCACGAAGGCTATAAAATAATCGAAACTGAAACTCACGAACAGCTTTCATGTGATCAACACTGAACACGAACAAAAATCCGTCTTATTCCAATGTTGATTTAGTTAAACATTGAATTTTGATATCGGACTATTAAATTAATCAATAACAAACGATAATTTAGTCATATGCATAACATATTGCTGTATCTTGAACATAAATTTAAGAGTTTTACCAAGGAGGTCATTTCCGTAAACTGAACGTTACTTGCTGGTGATTGTGAACCCTACTTGTGAGTTTACGAATTTTATCTGTACCCTGACTTGTGAGTATTTTTAAAGATTTATTGGAGAAAAAGTTTACGTTCATTGCGATTTTGTATCAATTATTGCCAGAAAATATAAATGATTATAATAGAATTTTAGTATATAAGGTGGGATATAAGGTATTTACCGAGAATTGGTTTAACTGATAATATTGGTCCCTGCGGTCTGGAGACCGCAGGGTATTGGTACGCGTTTTACTTTTGAGGCATGGAGGAGCACGTGACCTGTTTTCGGTACATGAAGGAGCATGTGATCTGTAAACCGTACATGATTCGTTAATTGACCTTTTCGAAAACCTGGCTAAATACCGTTTGCCGGTACGTTACGGATAATTAAGAACAAAAAACTATTACGTGATATTTTTAATTTTCTATAATTATAATACCGTTTAAGGTGGAAAAACTTAAATGATATGTTTGAAAATTATCAATATTTCTTTAATATGTTCCTCAAAATGTTACAAACAATAAATTGTTTATACTGAAAATCTACAAAATTAAAATTTTCGTAGTGGCATCTGCCATAATAAATAGAGATGTTTTCTGCGAAAACTTGTGTGTTTGCTTTTTGCTCGGAATTATTCATAAAATGGTAGGTCTATTTAATAATTTTCTTAAAAAGAAATAATAATTGTTTTATGTTCGACCTTCTCCGGTCATTAACGGTCACCGGTTTCCAAAGACCTTCTTCTATATTGATCGATTATTGTCAACTATATTCCTGATACAAACGTTTATTTATCAACCCACCCAAACAATATTGAAGATAGTTAAATGAAATATCTTTATATCATCAAAAATATTCCCCGCAGGAAACCATTTTACTTGTTAATCATTTGTTTAAGAAAATATATAATGCTATGTATATTTTTCTTTCGCATCACCATGCAAGAATTCAACTGCATATACGTACGTATACTGTTCAGTAAAGACTACGAATTTCAATGACATCATTGACCTCTAATTATTCGCCATCCAGACTGCAACTTGAAAATAAGAAGAATAAAATTTTCTACTTAAAAAAATTCAGCGTCACAGCCAATAACGTAAAAGAAAAAAAAAGGGTTTATAACACCAATAGCTGAAACACTGACAATTAAAATTTCAAAATTTCCCGAATATTCTCCGTTTAAAAAGATGCCAAAATTGTCAACGTCTATGAAAGATATACAAGAATAAAAGTCGTACATGTCAGAAAAAGAAAGTCAATTAATTTCTGAGAATATAAAACAGTGATTAAAAAAGCAGAATGAAATCAACGGTAGGTGAAAAGCTTTCACTATGTTGAAATAAGTAATCTGCAAAAAAATCTTGTAATGATATTTCGAGTTTTTTTTATACGTGAAGTTATATAACGGTCACGTCAAAACTAACAACAATGTCGTTAGTTAATTATTCCTTTCAAGAAACAATTGTCTTTCTGATTCGTATAAACAGCCACTTCATGCCGGTATTTTCAAGACAGTGAAAACATGACGAAGCACCTTCATTCATATGCAGTTTTAGTTACTTACATAGAACTAAAACATGTACCCTTCTCTTGTGACACAATAACTTCATATTCTGCACATCAAAATTAAGAAACATACGACAAAAAACACAATAAAATCATCAAAAGTGACTCGCAAAGTAATGGTTCAGTGAAAACACAAGTAGGGTACAGATCATTAAAATTGTTTTAGCAAGACGGGTACAGTTATCAGAAATGTCGCCACTATTATTTACTATGTTTTATCAATATTCAAAGATATTTTCACAAGTGTCTGTCCGTAACATGAGGTTAAGACAATAAAGTTAAGATTCAGATATGAGTTATAGTAAAATAAAACAATTTTAGGCATACATTTGCTTGTGTAATCGGCGTGTGTTGACATAAACAAAATATGAGGCGAAGAGCACAGCGTTTTATGCGCATATATTTTACGAAGAAGGTTATGGATGTATATTTAAGCAAAGATAAATTATCTCTTAATATGAATCAAATGTTAACATACCGTAACATATTAAATTCAAGCCGATTTTTAATAGTTTAATGTGTCATTACGCCTGATTGTACGTTTAGATGCTGAATTCTTCTCACAAGATCCGGTTGGGGTTCAAATCGTTTATATACTGTGATCTACATCTACATTGTACGTCGGCGCAATCACACTTGATTATGACGCGACAGGTGGTGCTAGGTCAAGAAAAAGAAATATACAAGAAATGATAGAAAGTAAGAAGAGGTTGGATAGTACAAAGATAGAGATATAGACAAAAAGTATGGCCAGCTATATTTCGCCTCTTCAACCCAAACCTCTCCGGTTACGGTGGCCGCTGCCGGCACAGCCTTGGATATCACTAGTGGGTACTTGTAGCTGGGCCCCTAAGGCGACTTAGAATGTGAGGGCTGATAGCCCCTGCTTGAAGGATACCAAGTCAGGGGCCTCTGCAACGGAGGCAGGTAAGCTGTTCCATATCGTGGCTGTACGAGGGAAGAAGGAGTTCTTGTAGTACGATGTAGATGTTGATGGTAGATGGAACTTCTTTGAGTGGTCACTTCTAGTGCAGCTCGGGGCAGGGGTGAGATAATCGCTGACTGGTATGTCCACAAGGTCATTGGTGATCTTGAACATCATGGTCAGCTGGGCTTTGGTCCGTCGTGACTCTAATGTCTCCCACTCCAAGTGTTGGATCATTGAGGATACGCTGCTTGTGTTGTGGTAACGGTTCGTCACATATCTTGCAGCTCTCCTCTGGACCATCTCGAGCTTGCGTGTAAGGTCCTTGGTATAAGGGTTCCAGATGGTGGAGCAATATTCAAGGCCTGGTCGCACGAGTGACATGTAGGCTGCGCTCTTGACCTGTTCATTGCTGATGCGCAGGTTGCGTCGAAGGAAGCCGAGTGTGCTGTTGCCCTTCTTTACGATCTTGTCAACATGTTGATTCCAGGAGAGGTTTCCAGACATATGGACTCCGAGGTACTTGGTTATCGAGTCTATCTCGAGTGTGTGGCCCTTCAAGAAGTACGGGTATATGATGGGGTTCCTCTTCCTGTGGACCCTGATTATACTGCATTTCTCTGGGTGAAAACTCATGCCCCAGCGTTTCTCCCACAATGCCAACTTCTTCAGGTCATCCTGCAAAACGTGGCAGTCCTCTTCAGTGTTGATTTCCCGGTATACCACACAGTCGTCAGCAAAGAGTCTGGCTTTGGACGTGACATGAAGTGGCAGGTCATTGATGAAGACCAGGAAGAGTATGGGTCAGAGCACACTTCCCTGGGGGACTCCGCTGATAACGGGTGCTGGGTCGGACGTTGCTCTATCAACAACTACGCGCTGAGTGCTAATAATCTTCAATATCAACACACATTAATTAGACTTTTATTAAGCTCTTCCTTAAATGAATTCATAATATTGATTAATAATTGCAACAGCTAGTCCTATTGTATGGGGTATGATTATTAAGGTGATTCCGCTTTGTCAGCCATGTTATAGTTATAGAATATATACGAGGACTTTACCGGCTGGTATCAGCGCATGGGGCGACAACAAGGGTCAATCATAGGAAATTAATCGAGACGGAACGTCGAGATAAATTTCCATGATTGACCCTTTTGTCGCCCCATGCGCTGATACCAGCCGGTAAAGTCCGCTGCGTACATACCGGAACGTCGAGATAAATTTCCATGATTGACCCTTTTGTCGCCCCATGCGCTGATACCAGCTGGTAAAGTCCGCTGCGTACATACCGGAAGGTTCTGCAGTGTATACATTCAGATTCAGACCAGCCTGTGAAGTCCGAGTATTTATTCTGTAACACTAACTGTTTTATCGCATGACCATCACGACTTTTTTCTTGGAGATTTACGCTCTCTCGTAATATTTGCTTTATTTTAACATATAAACTACTTCCATCTATTAATAATTACGCTAGAATATTATGTTCATATACGTGTAGTGATTTACTGAATGGCTTACTGGTCAGAATCTCCTGTGAAACGAAAGCATTGACTTAAAGTAAAAAAAAAAAAAAGGAAAAATTGGTCATTGTTTCAGATTTGTCCTTGAGGACAGGATGCAGAAAATGGCGATTACTTTCCACTGGAGTCAACATCTTATAATAACTGCATTTTCAGATTTTGAAATAAAAATAAAGATTGAGATGATATATAAACATTAAAAAAAGTCTGTAAACTGTGTAATGTATTTTTTGCTCTTTTTCAGGTATGCTCACTTTATTATTTGAAATAAAATAATAAACTGGGCATGCGCGAGAAAGTGTACTGATACCTCATTTAGAGCACCCCAAAGCGTACTGATACCTCATTTAGAGCACCCCAAAGTTTTCCAATACTGAAATTTAGAGAACGCCGATCTTCAAAGGAAAGTTGTGGCGGTCATGCGATAAGTTTGTTTTCAGAAAGCCTGTCCAAAGTGAAAGTAGGCCAAAATTCATATGACATCAAAGCTCTTATTATAAAATGATGAACCATTTGAAAGTACACTTCCAGGTTTATATTTTAAGGACAATTATAAACAAAAATAAAAATGATAACAATAAGAATATTTACCTTGAATGTGCAAAGTTTTATGCACATTTCATGAATGGCAAAATCCTTTCTAAGGTCTGTTTTAGTGCCTACAAAAGCTATTTTTTTGCAGCAAATACAAAAATCTTTCAAAACTTAACTCCAAAATAAATCCATATCTCATGTCCTTCTAAGCACATGGCCTCCATTATTTTTTGTAAAAAAGTAGTGCAAGAAAACAATCTTCATTTATAGCCTTATGAACTACTATTAAAATGAAAACACTATCAAACTTTAAAATCTAACCTTTTTTATGTGTAACAGTGAAGTGTGTTTGTCATGTACACAAGAAATAGGTAAATGATGTTTATTTTCATGGTACTACTTTTTTACACATGTATGTCATGGTGGCCGGTATAGATGGATACCAAAAATAAGTTATTTTCGCGAAAATAAGATTGCGGCTACGAAAATAAGATTTATTTTTTAAATAGTGCATTTATCTGTTGAAATAATTATATAAAATATATATTTATTCATTCATTGAATGATTTTACTACTACATGTACGAAAATAAGATCTGCCAACAATTAAAATCCGTATATATGAATTGATATTTGTACGAAAATAAGATCCAATTGAAAATATGATCTACAATGTATGCCAAAATAAGATGTATATATTCTGTATGAAAATTATGTTTTCGACTAAGATTTTTACAAATATTTTTATAAGATCTGTGAATATGAAATTTGCATGAAAATAAAATCCTTACAAAAATAAGATCTATACGAAAAAAATACAAATGTATTAGTATGAACATAATATCTGTTTCAGAAGGATACGAAAAAGAAATCAAAATCTGTAATTTATATGAAAATAAGATATCAATATGGAAATGGTTTTTACCAAATTATAAAACATAATTGAAAATACGTGTAGATTCTAATATGAAAATAATATCGATATTAAGTAAAAGAAAAGTATATAACTTTATTGCTTTAAGTGCTTTAATTAGATAATGCATAAACAAGATATTTCTATTTGAGGGAAGGAAAAAAATGACACAACGTATGACACGTGCACATGACTGTCGGCAGCAATCAATGCGCTAATACGATGATTGGATTATTGAATTTTCGCACTTATCGTAATTGACACACACTTATTAAAGCCCATCTTTAAAGGTGTTTATTTGCGATTTATTATAGTGACCAATAATATCAAATTTTCATATAGATATCCTATATTTTTACAGATTTTTTTTACAGATTTTGTTATCAAAAAAATATACTGTATATATATTTTTACACAGATCTTATTTTCGTTAAAGATCTTATTTTATAAAGACATTATTTTCATATACAGATCTTTTTTTTTCCCGTAAAAATCTTAGTAGAAGACAGACATTATTTCATACAGATCTTATTTTCATATAAATCTTATATTTGTGCATATTATTTTCTTACAGATCTTATTTTTGTTGTATGGATCGCATTTTTATAGGATCTTATTTTCATATATATAGTATTTTCATACAGCTAATATTTTTTTACATATATTATTTTCAAATGTATCTTATTCTCGTAAGGATATTATTTTCATGCAACTTTCATTTTCACAGATCTTAGTCGAATACAGACAATATTTTCATACAGATCTTATTTTTGCGTTTAAACGGTTGGCTGTAGAATATGGATGCTTTTACTATATTTCTTAGAGTTTTATTACTTAGACAAAATTGCCAGTCCAAAAAGCGACAATTTTATGCGGGTCTTATGCTAGCAGTTTCCTTGCAGTAGCTAATTCTTGAGCCTTCTATTGCTGTGAAAAAGACCCTTCAGACCATCACCATCTCTTGATCATTCCACTTTTTAGCTCACCTGTCACAAAGTGACAGGGTGAGCTTTTGTGATCGCTTTTCGTCCGGCGTCCGTCTGTCGTCCGTCCGTCCGTCGTCCGTCGTCCGTCCGTAAACTTTAGCTTTAAATGACATCTCCTCATAAACCACTGAGCCAATTTCATCCAAACTTCACAGGAATGTTCCTTTGGTGGTCACCTTTAAAAATTGTTCAAAGAATTTAATTCCATGCAGAACTCTGGTTGCCATGGCAACCGAAAGAAAAATCTTTAAATATCTTCTTTTAAACAACCCTAAGAGCTAGAGCTTAGATATTTGGCATGAAACATCTTCTAGTGAGTGTCTACCAAGTTTGTTCAAATAAAAGCCCTGGGGTCAAAATTGGCCCCGCCCCCAGGGGGTCATTGATTTTCCCTATATGCATATAGTAAAAACTTAAAAAATCTTCTTTTAAAGAACCCAAAAGAGCTAGAGCTAAGATATTAAGCATGAAACATCTTCTAGTGAGTGTCTACCAAGTTTGTTCAAATTAAAGCCCTGGGTGAAAATTGACCCTGCCCCGGGGGTCATTGATTTTCCCTATATGCATATAGTAAAAAACTTAAAAAATCTTCTTTTTAAGAAACCATAAGAGCTAGAGCTTAGATATTTGGTATGAAACGTCTTCTAGTGAATGTCTACCAAGTTTGTTCAAATAAAAGCCCTGGGGTCAAAATTGACCCCGCCCCAGGGGGTCATAGATTTTCCCTATATGCATATAGTAAAAACTTAAAAAATCTTCTTTTAAAGAACCCAAAGAGCTAGAGCTAAGATATTTAGCATGAAACATCTTCTAATGAGTGTCTACCAAGTTTGTTTTAATAAAAAGCCCTGGGGTCAAAATTGGCCCCGCCCCAAAAACTTAAAAAAATCTTCTTTTAAAGAACTCAAAGAGCTAGAGCTAAGATATTTAGCATGAAACATGTTCTAATGGGTGTCTACCAAGTATGTTCAAATAAAAGCCCTGGGTCAAAACTGGCCCCGCCCGGTGGGGTCATTGATTTTCCTTATATGTGTATAGCAAAAACTTAAAAATCTTCTTTGAAAAAAACCCAAATAGCTAGAGTTTAGATATTAAGCATGAAACATCTTTAAGTAAATATCTACAAAGTTTGTTCAAAATGAAAGCCCGGGGGTCAAAACTGGCCCTTCCCCAGGGGTGTCATTGTTTTTAACTATATGTGTATAGTAAAAACTTTAAAAATCTTCTTTTAAAAAACCCAATGAGCTAGAACTTAGATGTTTAGCATGAAACATCTTCTTATGGGTGTCTACCAAGTCTGTTCAAATAAACAAATAAAAGCCCTTGGGTAAAAATTGGGGTGGGGGGGCTATATACAGGTGAGCGACCTCAGGGCCATCATGGCCCTCTTGTTTTCGTATCTTTTGAATTGGATCTTTTTTTTGTACATATAGTATTTCCATACAGATCATATTCTCAATTACTATTATTTTTGTACAAATATCAATTCATACAGGTTTTGACTTTTAATTTTTTACAGATCCTATTTTCGTACAGTCATGTAGTACTTTTATAATTATAAATATATAATATTTTCATACATGTATGTATTAACTATTTACAGAAAGATTTTTAATTTTGGTACGTATGAACATTTTTTCATACAGCTTTTATTTCCTTACATATTTTATTTTCGTAGAGTACTGTTTTGATTTTATTTTCGTACGGTACATATTCTTATATTATAGATCTAGATTTTATTTTCGTAGTCGTTATTTCAGGTTATTTTTGCAATAGTTTTTTTTTATTTGGATACTTTTCACCACAAACATTTCTTGTCTTATAAGAGAACATTTCATTCTTAAAATTTACTTGCAAAATCAGTGAAGTAAAAACTATTCTAATATAAGTTATGAACCATGTAAATCATATACAGTAGAACTTCTATGAGTCAAACTTCGATTAGTCGATTTTCTCGATGTGTCGAAGAAAAATGAAAGTCCGGACTTTTCCCCCTATATATTCCTTATAAAAACCTATTTCTGAGTCGAGATTTTATGTGTCGAATTTTTTGATGTGTCGAGGTTTTTTCGTGGTCCGTGTAAAGTAAATCTAGTGCAATTTACCACAAATAAGTCGAAGTTGTTCGATTATTTTGACACCTTTGATCTCGAGACATTTTTCACACCTTATCTGGCTGCGAAGACAATTTCGAATCAACTTGTGTGATAGGTGTTAATAACACAGCCGTGTGTTCAAACAGCCTTTGTTTGCGATAAAATGTGTGATAAAATGCTTTAATCGTAACTATTTAATTGCCGTAGTGGTATTTGAAAGTAAACAGTAAGAACTACTTTCATTTGAAAACATCCTTGACCCGGTGTCGCATGAGAATAACACGCGTAATATTTACTATAAGCTGGTTTAGTTATCGCCCTTTCGTATTCATACGCCTTTT